ATGAGTCGAGTAACTTTCCATTGTTTGCACTGCTGTGATGCGACTGGAAATACTTATCGTTGTTTAATTTGAATACTTCACACTACTAACGTAATTCCAGAGTACATTTAAATTTCCACAAATTTTTTTAATAGGGAAAGTATAACTCGACACTAAGAAGCATCATGAATCATGAAAACCTGACTGGCATCATACTGTAATCTTGCATAATGACCCATGCTAGTGTCATATAATGAAGTTCATTTATGAAATGTAAATAAAAAGTTCTGCTGGAGATAAAAGTACAAAAATATTATAGTGGTTTAATATTATTATTGTTGATACCTATCAGAATTGACCCTTATCATTGGTAAATACTGTCGAACTATCAACAAAAAGTCGAGAAGCATTGAACTTCTTATAATGATACTTGTAATTTCCCGTTGCTACGCAGGGCCAAATTACTGGCAGATGGGCTTCTATGCGGATGCCTCGATACTGCCGGATATTCATAATGTCATCACTCAGTGGGGTACAGGTACACCCAGCTGACGAGCCTCAAACAGGACGAAATGCGCGTCCTTGATTCCTCTATTAGTCACCAAGATCAATATAACATTACACTACTGTTTTCTTTTGATTATCAATAATGTACATCTCGCAGTATTCGGATACATATATAGTTTGGCGTTCGTGGAGATTTTATTTTAAAGGCTGTATTCATAATGAAGTGAAATCAGTTGGAGAACCATTGGAAACCTGGGAGCAGTGGACAGCTGTTTTGTCCTATTATGGAACTATCCATTAGGAAGTGAAGCTGAAGACTAGTAGGTAGTCATGCTATATTGCAAATCAGCAGAAGTAAGAAACTATGAACCGTTGAACTCCGATCCAGTGGCTGAACGGCTAATGCATTTGCCGTGAAACCAGAAGGTCCGGTCCCTTGATGGGATGGGATTGTGTGTGTGTACTACTGAGGAGTCCCATCCAGGGGTGAAACACCTGTCCAGTGCTCCGCGGCTTCAGTGATTCTCTAACTGGTGCAATCCGTGATGAATGCAACCTTTAAAAATATGTGTATGAATTACCGTTTGGATTAGGAAGTCAATCAAGCCTTCTTTGAGACAAAAATTTTTATGAAAGTGCTTATTTTTAGCGAGAATTTACAAACTCTGAAGAGGTAAAACTGGTTAATAGCTTGATGTATAACTGGATTTGATGAGGTTAAACTTGATATTTTCGATATGTAGTCACATTAGGAGAAAAAGGTTCACGAAAACAATTTATTAAAATTTAATGTTTCGTCACTAATGACTGTAATTTCCGTAATAAACCGTCTTATATGGTGTTCACTAGCATTGTTCTCATCAATACCATGTCATATGCTAAACACTAATGATGCTCAATGAAACAACTCTTTCAAGTAACCACCATAATTTCGATGCCTGACTTACGTTGCAAAATGCTTGGAAATTTACCCTCTGTTTTCAAATGAAATTTACTTTAATAATATCATTTTCTGTTGAATACTGCAAATTAGGATCTAAACTCCAAGTAACAGGTAAGAATTCTATTCAGTTGAGAAACGCTTTCAGAAATTTACTTCGTATGAATATTAAAAATGCAAAGTCTTTATTACGAAACAGTATCCAAAGTGTTTGAAGATGGAAAGCAGGATGAAGACATATTTTACAAATGCAATCATTAAAAGAACTTGTAAAAGCAATGTCTTCAGGTTATCTGTTGTGTTTTTAGTTTTAAACTCTCATCCCCAACCCATTCCAAAAGGTATCTGAGAATGTTTAGGTACAGTAAGTGAGATGGAACACGGTATTTAGTAGTCCTGTCAGATTCGTAATATACCTCCACCATAGTCTCATAAGTTACCGAAAAGCATTTGTTTTCAATCTTGATTTCACTAGTCAGGTTATGGTCAGTGTTTCAGTATATCACCATCTGAAACAGTTACTTGAAACTCATCTTTTAATTTACATGCATTAAGATGATTATTGATTGGATTTCACCAAAAGGAACTATTAAAGCTTACCAGTGGCAGTGTTCATATAAGAAGTGTGCGGTGAAGAAATTACTGAAGTAGCTGTCTGAAGTAATGGTGACATTTACTGTTTTGAAAGCAACTAATTTTACGTCTTGCAATAAATGACATATATTAGTCCAAAAACTGTTCCGAATGTTTGTAAGAAATATATTCACATCCGCAACTCTAAAAAGTCTAGCATGGAACATATTTAAGACTGTGCAACTTTCATCTAAGTACTTAACATCAAATACATTTAACTTTGGTGACGTATCATGGAGACTAATAGCTGCAGTACAGCTGATCATTAAAAGCTAGAGGATACTTTTTACCAGTACTTTACTTCAGAATGAGTAGGTTTCTTTAAAGGCATCTACTGCAATCTCCTTACATATTAATTAAAGCGAAAAGATGCATAATACAAGAGTTAAGATTTTTAAGATGCTTGATTTGTAACTAAACCCCAGATGACTGAATTAATTTTAAGACATCTTTAGCAGCTGGGTCTAATAACTCAGCTTGTAGAACGCCGAGCCGGTGGTTCTGAAGCCTTTGGTTTGAATCCTGTTGCCACCCAAGTTCTATTTGCCTTCCACTCTTCACCCCGATATCGACAATTTATCCCCATCATCTCTCGTTTAGAATTCCTGATGAACAGTTTTCGTTCCCCTTATTTCAAACGAATCCTTAGCCTTTTAAAAAGCTGTCAATAATTTCAAGTGTTGCAACCAAATGACCTCGAAATTTAGTCATGTAATATACATTGGCTGGTCACTGAAAAGCAACCAATTTCATATTACCTAGTCCTGAGTGTTAATCTAATTACATCCACTCTTTTGCCAAAAAATATGTTTGTCTTATCAAAGATGTCATCCACTATTGGTTGTTGGTTAAGTTGAAGATATATTTCTCACATGTCTAAAACTGGCTCACTAGATAAAGAAAAAGGTGTACAAAAACCTGCATTTCAACCATATCCGAACTTAGTAGTTATAGTTTTCATATTCTTTTATTTTTCTACCTTATCTCGTCTAAACCTTGACAAGAATTCATCATACAGATTATGAAGTTGACTATATTCGCCAATTGATTATTACCGAAATTCCTGTGAACTATAAACTTATTTAATTTTTCACACTATTCCACTGGATGAATTCTTTTAGTTTAAACTGGTATCCATCCAGTTAATCGCTAACTCATACTCTGATCATCAGTTTACCTGATGTCAAATACAAAAGACATCAGAAATCTGTTGAAATTACTTTTAGAATTTTATCTACACTCGGATAAACTTTAGGGTAAGTTGTTATTGTAATGATCTTGTTATTAGTATCTTATTTCTCATCATTCAAAATGTTGCCTTCACTTAACTCATGACATAACAAAATCTAGCTTGAAAGCTCTATTTATTTATTGATTAAGGGTGATTTTATCCGCAGTCAATAGAATAGAGTGAGAACAAATTCAAATCATTAATCTCCTAAAATATTTTTTAGCAAATAAATACAAATAAAGTTGTCCGTTATAGATGAAAGTGTTATAAATGAATGTCAGTACGAGTTGAAAGGAATCTGGATCATGAAGTTACTTCAAAGTAGTGACATCTGTGCTGCTGGATCTTTACTCTACCGATTAAACTAAAAGACCTAACAAGTACATTGACTGGTCACTGGAGTGTAATCAACTTCAAATTGTTTAATCCTAAGCGTTGATCGAATTCCGTCAATCATTTGGCAATGTAGCCACTACACTAAGCATCCCAGCATTGCGATCCACTTTGATAGATGCTAGTTGAGTGGAAGCAGTCGGCAGAAAGCCCTGAATGTATGTTTCGCGCTTTTTAGCATTCGTCAACAAGGCATATCTGCAACCTCTATGGAACTGATGTCCTGCCTGACCTAACAGGTATCCAGATTCCGGAATGATCAATAATTCGTTTAAAATGTGTCCTTTTATGAAACGCCTTTCGCTAAGTAAACGAAACAGCTGGTTCTCAAGAAGATGAATTTTACTTGTTGCTTTTTAGCTGCTTACTGGTAAGACAAAGTGATGAAAATAGAACAGTGAATTAATTTTTAAGCTGGATGGATTGTGCATTACCCCCTACTTAGTGAATACTTGTACTTTCCAAAAGATGAATGGGGAAAAGTTAATGCTCGGTTCATAAGACCACTTCATTGTCACCCTAGTTTAAAAAAACTGTATGCATCATAGAAAAATAAAACTTCTGAGAGCTAAACATCATTTGAAAACTGATGGTTTTCTAATTCTAAGAAGTTTCCCTTCCAAGAAAGTTAATTATGAGTATAAAGGATGCTTAGATTTTTGAGAGTTAACGAAAAACAGCTAGCTATCTTGAATTTGGTATTATCTTGGTAAATGGCTCCAAAATTAACTTCGAATCACTGAAATATTGAAACATATAAGAGTGGATGAATATAACTGTCAGTTGACAAATCATCAGGTAAGTGGTGGAATTTCATAGAGGAAGTAGTACAGGCCATCTGGACGGAATATGGTCAATGGTTGGGTATGGCACTGTTATTCAACAGGATTATGTTTATTAAAAATTCACACCCAATAAGAAAAAATTGCAGACAGTACCATAATCTACACTCATTGTAAAATAATTAATGTCAGTAGCCCAAAATATGGTAATTTAAGTATAGTGTGAACCAAACATCCATCAGCTGATATCATACTTCAATACTTACGAAAACAAGGCATATTGTATTACTGACACTAAACAAATTTCGGTGTGATAGCCGACGAGCGTATTGGCATCTTTATTACTAAAGGATTAAATGACAAAGGTTCACTTATCAACAATAACCTTGATTCATTTAAGATGGGCAATAACGACAGTAATCTAGTGATCATCTTTTAACATTCGACGTTATATTCACCTTTCCTATGCAGTAATAGTCCCCTTTTCATCATTAGATACTAATCATATAAACTTTAGAAGTGAAGAAAAACTAACCTGAATGGATACAATGAATAATCATCTGCTTTATCCCATATATACTGATATGGTACATTTAAATTTTCTGTATAGTTAAAACATATACTTTGTGAATTGTCGGAAATAACAGAAGGGTTCAGTATATTTTCGGTATGAAATATTGGATCTGTTACTGGTGATGAACTAGATGAATAGGTGGATGAAGGATTAAAAGCAGTAGGTGAGTACTGAGTTGTTTCTAGATCATTGATCCAGTGATGTTGTTGATGAGGAATACAGATATTGGTATTAACTGGTATTTCCTCATTAGTTTGTATCTGACATCCATCATCTGCATACATTATTTATCAGTGATTATGAAATTGATAGTAGTATTTTTACAAATTTGAAATATTTCCAGTTGCATTCACTGAATCGCTGCACTCTATTAAATGGAATAAAAATTAAAACCAGACATTCCCAGTAGGCTTGTACAAAGTTGAGATAAGTGCGGATCATAAGCCAATTGGTTAAGTTACCACTCCACCCTGTAAACCAATGTTAGTTGTATGCATGAGAGAATTTGTAGTCGTCTGTCCAGTTTGTAACTTAGCTGTGATAGGCCGGAAGAGAGGAATAACAACAATCATATTGAGCGACAAATCAGACCGTTACTCTATAACGAACAAGTTTCCTTCCCTTCCTCCTGTACCCGATTCTATGTCCTCTCCTCCTCTCATAACACAAACAGCTAATTATTAGATCAGTGTAGAAAAAGTATATTGGATTTTCTTCAGTTAGACGTGTGCAGAGAAGATACAGGTCATAAATGAATGAAAGTATAATTTTATCCAATGAATTAGAACATATAATTAAGGACTATGTAGAAGTATAAAATTTTCATAATCAAATCTCAGATGAATGTGAATACCATAGAATATACAACAAGTTGATTTTTCATAATAATAATTTTTAGAAAAAGATATATAAGCGAACAATTTTGTTTTCAATTAGCTTTTATCAGGCTTTACACTAACACACATAGTTTTCCTCATATTTGTCTTCTGATTCTAACAGTTAGAACTTTTAACATTTTTAATGATCTTTGACAAAAGAATTTTACATCAAATCCTGTTAACCAATCTACTTACTTTGCTAGAAATAAATGAGTGACTAACTGAAGCTGGCTGAAAGAAACCAACTGTGTGTTCAATAGCGAAAAGACCGCATATGAAGTGAAAGTTGATTCTTGAAGGTTTCTGTTTTGTGAACTCAGGACCACAAGGTTACAGCTGACGAATACTTAGGATGTATGCCTGAATTTGGAATTACTCCAGAAGCACTGAAAACAGACGCAAAGACATCAGCAGACATGCTCATACCGCTATTGCAGAAGGTTTGGAAGGAAGGAAAGGGTGGTCTAAGTTTTTGCAAGAACTGGAGTGGAATCATGCTGCTGTCCATCCCAAGCAAAATATTTAGCCACATCATCCTGGAGAAACTAAAAAAGGCACTGGATTCAAAATTACCACCAGAACAGGTTAGCTGGCTATCTGGATTCAGGAAGAACAAATCATGTGCGCATCGAATTGCAATGCTACGCATCATCATAGAACAGAGCATAGAATGGCAGTCAACTCTTTTTTACCTCACCTCAACTTCATCGACTTTGAAAAGGCCTTTGACAGCGTCGATCGAGAAGTGGTTTGGAAACTGCCTCAACACTACGGGATACCACAAACCTTAATCAACCTCATTCAACAGCTATATGACGAGCCTACATGCCGAGTGATTCACAATGGTGGAAGGCTCACTGATGCTTTTGAAGTGAAGATAGGAGTAAGACAAGGTTGCCGTCTACTGTCACTGATGATCTTCCTGATTGTGGTCATCTGGATCATGCAGCAAACCGTGAGGGGTGTGAAGAAGGGCATAAGCTGGTTGACCGGTGAAAAAACCCTAGAAGATTTGGATTTCGCCAAAGATGCTTAGTTATATCCAATGACTTGTCGCACAAACTCGAAGATCTGCAGACGAGAACTAAAAAGTTGGCAGGAGAGGCAAGGCAGCGAAGACGGGACTTCAAATGAACGAAGAGAAGGCATAGATGATGAAGATACCCAACCAACAACAACAAGCATCAATCACCATTAACGGGAGAAACCTAAAAGAAGTAGTCTCTTTCACCTACCTAGGCAGACAGTATCGTTTCAACCACAGGTGGCGGCACAGATGAGGATATCAAAACCAGAATCGGAGAGACAGCAAGACAGGCTTTCATGAATCTGAAATCAGTGTGGAGATCCACTGCACTGCACTCAGCATTAGGGACAAGATCCGGATTTTCAGCACTAATGTCAGTCGAGTTGGTGCTTCTATGTGGTTCAGAAACCTGGCGCGTCACGAAAAGCATTCCCAACAAACTGTAGACATACATGAACAGCTGCAGCTTACTCCCGCTTCATAGTGAAGACCAGATGGCCAGAACGAATAAGTAACAAGAAACTCTGGCAACGAACCAACCAAGAACCTATCGCCCAACGAATATGCATAAGAAAGTGGAGATGGATTAGACATATACTGAGAAGACCATTTGGGGACATCATGCACCAGGCCAGGCCGTCGAGTGGAACCGAAATGGGAAACGACTAGTTGGGAGTCCGAGGGTGACATGGAGGAGATGGTGTGAGGAAAAAATGAAAGCTTGTTGGCAATCGTGAAGCCAGGCTCAAAAGACTGCTGAGGACAGAGTGAAATGGCGACGTCCCACTAGGAACCCAAGGGACAAATAAAAATAAATACCTGAATCCCAATGAAAGCCAAGAACACCTGGAAACTTATTGATAGTTTCCATTAAAAAGATCTGTCATAGTTTAGGTAATAAGTAAATAAGTTACCAGAAGACATAACTCGAATTATATGTTATGTTTAAAGAAAAAAATTATTATTCAGGCGAGACCACTGCTACAATGATAACTATTTTTTCATGACGTTTCCGACCACTTAACTGACGACTAAAGAGCGCTTATGTGCATTCATATTGAATAGTTCAACTGAAAACTTCTTAAGGATAAGCTGATGAAATACTCAATTCACAAGAACTGTGAGACACCTAATCTCAGTCGATGAGCTTACTTCAGAAGCTTATGTATTTTATCACTTTGTAATTCTCCTTCTTCCCGTTCAATTTCAATAAGCAGAGCTAACGAGGTACTTAATTAGAGTACTTAATCATGTGTTTCTTTTTCTGTTCACTTCATACTGGAATAACTTTTGGCAAATCAATTTTACCAACCATATAATAGGCTTGAGAAACTGTCACAAATGAAAAATACCGATTATGTACTAACTGAGCAAAATAAATCTGCCACTAATTTATGTAAGCCACGAAAAACTGAAAGTATCTCCAGTCCAGATCAGGGCGTTTTGAATGGATGTTCATTAAAAACTATTTCTGTGGGCAAGTTTCTGATGCATGAAGTCCTTTGAAAGAGTCATTATGTAGTTTCCGTGGTGCCAATACGCAGGCACTTAGGTTTCAAGCTTCTGAAAGTAAGAACCATTTCAAAATCACCAATTTACTCCTTTATCACTCTTTGGTAATGAAAAAACCTCAGTTCCAACAGACGTTTCCTAAACAACTTAGGCAGAATATCATGGCAGTCAATCAGTAGATCCTAAGTAAGCTGTACTTAATGGTTGTTGACAGTTTCAATATTAGAAACGTGCCTATGTGACGACCTCTTTCCATCATTGGTGGCAGACCCAACTGAACGAATTAGTATTTCATGGGTTGCGTTATTTGACAACCGTTTACAGAATTTTCGACCAATTTTTAGCACTATCATCTCCACTCTGTAAAACTGTCCGCATTCAGGTAGCCCCAATGGTCTGGCTCTAAATTAAGAAAGAAACTGCTTACATGTGTTTCCATAGGAAAATATCAGTTAAAAAATACTAACAGTTTCCAAAATAAGTCGGAAAATTTAGTTAGAAAAATACTGATACCTTTTTTTAAACAAGCAGACTTTTCAACTGATTACCATTTTACTAACATCTCTCAATAAAGGTAATATACTTACATATCAACTTTCAGTAATCAGTATCCGTTGTAAAGTGTCAAAATGCTGTTGGCGTAATCCATCAGTTAAGAGGAACCTCTGGTCCAGGATTTTTCGATCACTTCACTGGCTACGGATGAGCACAATCACGTCTTTCGGTTTCAAACAACAACAGCTACAGTATGAAGTATCTCAAATGAAACTGTTAGAAATACAAAGTCACAAATTGCCCCTGTGACCTTCTGGTTACTCGCCCACTGAAAAAGTGGATTCTGCTTGAATGGAAACAATCGACAGGAACCCATGCACCGAGGTTTTATATTTTTGGCACTCATCAACAAGACATATCTGCAATCTCTACAGAACTGATATCCCACCTGGAATTCAAACCGGCATCACCCAATGTTGCAGTTACAGATGTTATCACTGAGCTGTTGGGTCTGTGACTGACTTCCTGTATGACTGGTTTAGACACATTGATTGGTCACTGGAGGGTAACTAACTTCTTGTTGTATATTCCTATGTGCCAATCTAATTCTATCTATCATTTTACAATGCAGTTAACACAACATCGCGGTGCACTTTGATTTGATTCTCTTCTGAAGTCAATGACAAAATTTACTAACAACGTAGATGCTGGTGTTATATTTGATTCATGGTTTGGGAAGGTTTGAAGATTTATTTAAAGTGGAATTGACCGGAGTGCATAGCCCAGTGAAAGTTCATGTAGTTCTTCACAAACTGGGTTCTGGTGAACGTACTAAGTATGTCGATTTTTTCCGCTGAGGTGTATCTGTGACGTTAATCTTGATGAAACAGTAATGATTCTCGGCAAAATACTTTGTAAACATGCAATATTATTCAGTATGGGGTATAAGTGTTTCAAATTGTGTGAGGGTCAATGTCATAATTTTCCTTCTCGTGTTGCTAAAGTTAATCAAATTTGTGAAGATTTTCAGTTGGGCTCACTTACTCAGGACCAGTTCAAATTTCTGGTCTTTGCTGTCGGTTTGTAGTCCTCATTTGATGTGGAAACCCCAGATGCTATTTTGCCTTGTATTCAAAAAAAATCCTACAATGAATCTTCAAGAACTGACAACCAGGTGCCAGAGATTTTTGAACTTGGAAAATGAGACGAAAATGATTGAGAATATAAATACTTCTGAATTCGATGCAGTACATGCAGTCAAATATAATCGTAGTTATTCAAGATCTTCAGTATCTGTAACGGCCAAGAAGCCTCTCATTGGTGTTCGGTTCTTTGAGGATTGGAATTATGGTAATATGTGTCCATATGAGAAATATAAATACAGAAAATGCTAAACATGCGGGTGTAAAGAAGGATTATGCAAACTTAGCCCTGATGGTGTTCATTCAAATCAGTTCAGACGCAAACTGAAATCCATTACCAGGAATCAGACCAAACCACTGTTCAATGTTTCAAATGTT